GGCCGGGAGCAGCCACAGCACTCCAGTCTGGGCGACAGAGTGAGATTCCAACTCAAAAATAAAAAGAAGGTCAAATAGAGTAGGGTTCAGAGTTCCTTAGGACTGCTTCTAGTCTGGGGAAAATAAGCTCTCAAGTCACTTCCAGCTCAGCTTATAAAGCTGTGAGGCCTACATGTTCGGAGCCAAACAAGCACAGGATGGCCAGAAACTTGCTTTTGTTTGCAATGTGCTCTGTGCATGTTTTGTCCCCAGGCATAATCAGATATGAAGACACAACTCAAAGAACAAAATTCAACTGGGGCAAAGGTTCTGATCTCCACACTGATCATGACTTCAGAATAAAAGTGCTAAAGAAACTTAATAAGGACGTAGTTATTAAAAAATAAATAAATTTGCCTGTATTTTCCACAAAACTCTCTTTAGGGGACAGAAACAAGCAGTTGAACTAGAAAATAAAGAGCCAAGATTCTTAAATGCATTTTTAATTATTATTCTGGGAATAATAAACAACTTATCTTCTGTGTCCATTGTAAGGGGCTTGTCTTTCTGTTTGGATACATTACCCCACCCTCTGACATCCAAGGGACACTGGGGCAGCTAGTGAGAATGCCATCACATCTGCAGAGGGTGCCAAAAAAATATACAGACTTTTTTTTTTTTTTTGAGTCGGAGTCTCACTCTGTCGCCCAGACTGGAGTGCAGTGGCCGCTCCCGGCCACCACAGCCTCGACCTGCTGGGCTCCGGCGATCCTTCTGCCTCAGCCTTCCAAGTAGCCGAATTATAGGCATGCGCTACCACGCCCGGCTGATTTTTTGATTTATTGTAGAGATGAGGTCTCGCTGCTCAGGCGGGTCTCGAACCCGCGGGCTCAGGCAATCCTCTCACCTCAGCCTCCCAAAGGTGCGGGATTATAGGCTGAGCCACTATATACACACATTTTAAGAAAGGAAGAAACAATTAAAACTGTAACACTCAATATATACCGATACAAAAGATGAATACAAGTCACGTTTGACTTCTGCAATTACAAGAGGTGCTCAGAGTGGTGGACATCAGTGTTCAGACACTTCTGATTAAAGAGAACAAAAAGTAAGACACAGATAACATTGCTTAAAATGTGTATACATTTTTTTTTTTGGCACCTGGGTACATTCCTTTATTATGTCATTAAAAATTTTGAATCTTTATGTAATAGTAATATTTTGTCTTATTGGACATCTTTGATCTAGCTTTGAACCAATTTTTCCAAGGAAACCTTATATGTTATATATATATCCTTTTCTCTATTAATTCCATGTTTTCTCTCTTTCTCCCTTCATTCTGTTCCTCTGTCACTACTAACTGTTCCTTCATCTCTCCACCTCTCATGTTCTCTTGTCTGTGCCAGAAAAAACTCAAGGACACTGATTAAGCTTGCTGGCTTTGCAGACCCCAAATACAGAAATCCAATTCTAAAAAATGTCATAATAGCCTATTATACATACTTTGATCCCAGTTCTAAATTCAGAGACTATGTTAGAGAAGAGCTTAGTGGTGAGATGACAAGGTGTTAGCCATCATTAAACTACTATAGTATCAGAAAGTACAAGTGAGCAAAGTTTAAGATTCAGGTTCTGCATGATCCTGTAGTTCATTGGTATTTTGAATTTCTTCCAGACTCACAAGGCAGTGCAAAGGTTCTGAAGCATTTACAATTTCATAAACTTTCTACAAGTCAAAATTTGTGTCTAAAACTCGTCAAACAGGATAGGATGTCTTGCTGTCCCCCTACAAAGCAGATTCCTCTAGTTGAGCTGGCTCACTGCCAAGTCACTGGAGTTGAAGAAGGGAGAAGACCTCCCATGGCCACTGGAGATCAGTGGTCTCACTCTTATTCTCCCAGGTTCTGGTGATCAAGTACGCTTCCCCTAAAAGCACAGGAAGTCAGCACGACAGTCTCTTAAAAGCCCTTTCCTATTTTACCTTAAGTTGGACTCACTGAATCCAGAAGACTAGTACAAACCCATGCCTAAAAAGAAAACAATCACCCTACAGCAGGTAATAAACAAGGAAAACAGGAACAATCTGCATATTTGATTTCAGACTGTCAATGTATAGCACGTCTTTCAAGTTTCTGTTGGTTTCAGACTGTCATAAGCTGCCTTTCAAGTTTCACGACATGCCACCTACACCTCTCTCCCTCAAGCAGCCAACAGGAATCCTTCAGGCTTTCTCATTTTTCCAGGCTCTTGTATAGGCGATCTCCCTACCCGTTACACCTTCCTCTCTCTCAGAGGAATTTCGAGTCATCTCCCCTAGCACCCTAGACGACTAAAGTCCACTCACTGTCTGCTCTCACATCCACACCTCCCACGGCCAGTCTCTCACGCTTTGCCCTCCTGGTCTTGAAGCAGCTCTTCCCCTGAGATGCAGCTGCAAGAGGACATCGGCAGAGGCTGACCCACAGCAGGGGCCAACAAGGGTTTCCCTGAAAGACTCGATTCCCTAAGAATCTGGCCCGAACCAACCCTCCAGCCACCGTGTCTGTGAGTCTCCCAGCTCACCTGGTTTCAACTCCATGCCACTCCTCCGCAAGCTGGCCTCCCTTGCTGGGACTCCGAACACGGCCAGGTCTCTTGGCTGCGGACTACCCGCTCGGCGGAGGCCCACCCACCCGCCGTCCAGGCCAGAACCCAATCGGATGCCAAGACGGGCCCGGCTGTTGGATGACGCAGCTCGTCCCTCCCCCAGGGGCCTTGAGGGCGAGGCTTCTCACCACGAGCTCGCCTCTCCCCAGGAAGTTTCAGGTCTTCAAAGGAAGGGCTCCTCGGCTCTTCTGCCCGTCCAGTTGCTCCCTCCACCCCCAGCCAGGAGACCGGAGGCTCTCGGGTGTGCAGAGGAAGAGGGAAAGGGCTGACCTGTGCTTGCGAGCCTGTAGCGGCCTCTTGAACCTGTCGCTTAATGGCGGTGTTAATGCCCTACGTAGGTGTAGGTGCAGGTGTGACTCGCGCACGTGTGGGAGGCATTCGGTGGATGACTGCGGCTTTAAAAAATCAATAGCATGAAGCCGGGCGCGGAGGCTCACGCCTGCAATCCCAGCTCTTTGGGAGGCGAGGTGAGAGGGCTGCCTGAGCCTGCGGGTTCGAGACCAGCCCGGGCCACTTGGCGAGACCTCGTCTCTGCAAAAAATCAAAAAAAATAGCCGGGCGTGGTGGCGTGCACTCCAGCCTCCTCCTAAAAATATACATGCAAATATATATACATATATATATATATATTTTTTTTTTTTTTTTTTTGCATGAAAGACCCCCTACCAAAACCGAGTCGCTCATTTTTTGGTTGTTGCTGAAAAGTTGGCTGCGCGATGCAAACGACACAGGAAGGGTTTGAGTTCAGCAGGACAATTTCGCACTGAAGCAGAGAAAGAGGCCACGATGGAGCGCCCCGAGAACACTACCTAACTTAGCACAGGACCTCGGAGGTACCCCGGAGTTAAATGAGGGCGCCGAAAGCAAGCCTCCTTGTCCTCTGCAAAAAGCCTCAGCGCCGGGAGGTGCCGCGCTGGGTCCCGGACGCAGGACCGACCTCTCCCGGCGCTCTGCTCCCTCCCCCGGCACGCAGGCCGCAGCGCCGGCGCTGACGCCCACGCCCGGCAGAGGGCG